CGCCGCTGCGCGCGACTCGGCCACAAAGGGAGCGCGGCGAGCAGGCGGCGAGCGGGGAGCAGACTCCTCCCCACGCCACTCCGTGATGTCAGGCTTTCCTGTTTGTGCTCGGGAGCGCACTCTCCCTTCTGAAGTCTGTGGATGGAGCGAGCAGGGAAGCTTTGCTCCAGCCCGGAAGGTGGTTGGGAAACGGGGAAACGACGCTTCCAAGTTGATCAGGTTTTCCTGGTGCTCGCCAGGTGCCCAGATAGAGGCCATGCTGGGATGGGGGACATGTGTGTCTTCTCCTGCCTTCAACCAAAGAAACCATGTCAGAAAAGCTTTATAATCTGCCTATTATCTATTTTGTATTTAGAACAATTAAATCAGAGTGACCCCAGTAAGAGGAGCAATACTAGAAGCCAGAAGTTTTCTGTGAGGACAAAGGATAGGGTCAGAGGATACCTGGATATTCCAAAACCGGACTCAGGGCTGTGCCCTGTCCTGCACCAACACGCTACCAACAGGAAATCTCTCTGGACTTCTACCACCCATGATAAGGTTCAATTACCAGTATCAACGTGGCTGGAAGGGGGCAGAACAGGGAAGGGTTTTGCTGGGACTGAGAGCACCCTGGGGGTTCTGTGAGGAGCCACCCCTGGGTCCAGTTGTCTGTACTGGAGGACACAACGGGATAATAGCCGCAGAGAGGCGCTTCATGAGATGCCTGCCAGCAGGAGTTTTATCATAATGGAAAGATGTGTGGTGGTGACACAAAAGTATTACATTTTTTCGACCCAGTTTTAATAAGTCAGCAGCAAGAGATACCACCGCTTGAATTCCATGACAACTACAGAAACCTTTAGGGCTTGTGTCTTTCAGGGGTGAATAGTATGAAAGTGAATGAAATACTATTCACCCCTGAGTGAATTTAATCCCCTTTAAATTTAAAAATAAAAACGACTTTCCACTAATTGTTATGCTGAGGCCTCAGAGTGGGCTTTGGTTAATAGTAAACATATGAGCTGAAAATTTAGAAAACCAAGTGTACTGATACTCCCAGGAGAACAGAATGAATGACAGGGTGCATCAAGGAAAAGCACAAGGATCTGTGGACACCTGAGAACATCTTCAAGTCCCTTGGCCAAGTTATCCTCCATGCACCCACCAGTGGGACTCATGGACTAGAGAGGAAACATTCTTTTATTAAGCTGAAGTAGTTGTTTCTATAATTTAAAAATGGAAAAGCCCATAGGCTCGATTCTTTTGTGATGACCACGACAAAGTGACCATGGGAACCAGAGGCAAGTCATGTGGAGGCCCCACCTCCCTGGTTCAGCCTTCCTCAGGACCTCAAGGCCCAAACCTCCAGGCCTATTTATTGATCTGGAAGACCACAAGATGCACCTGAGGACAGGTAAGCAACCCAAATGATTAATTTCACCACTACTTTACCCTGATTTGGGTTACACATTTGGGTGTGACTGAAAAGTTTCCAGTTTGTGAATATTAAGCAGTTTCTTCAACCTCACCCCCCCCACCCCCACCCCAAGGAACCTTCCTGGACAGAGCAGCTTAGAACTCACAAGGCGCCACTCACGTTTCAGATCTACTCACCATCTCGTCTACTCCTCCAGTTTTCTGGCTGGCCATCTGGTGTGTAAAGGGAAAAAAACTGGCTTTGAGGCAAGTGGATCCAACTTCAAACCCAAACTCACAGCAAGAGTAAACTGGAATGCTACTTCCCTGAGCCTTAATTTCCTCATCCGTAAAATGGGGCAAATGTCAACCTCGAAGAGTTTGAAAGAGGATTAAATGAAGTGATGTATGCAAATCATCTAACACATGGTGAGTGATCAAAAAAAAGTTCCATTCCCTGCTTCTTGCACTTCCTCCCAAACTATTTACCTCTAGACTAGCCAGAAAACTGCACTACATATGCAATGTGGGAAAATATGAAATGGTGTCTTTCACTGAGTTACCAAAAAATTTCAAAGACGTTTTCCAGGAATAACTATTTGTATTTATACCCAATAATATGATTTTGTACAGATGCTGTTCTGAAGAGAAAAAAAAGGCTGACTTTTGAGAGCTAGAACAATCAGGTATTGCAGTTTACCATGTTTTAAATATTTATTTAATATATTTCACCTTAGGGCAGTTCAGTCCTTATTACCTTATTACCTGTGCCTACGGGTTGTAATACTCCTGGTCAATATATGATAAGCCAGTGAGCCATTTGTAACTCAGTTTGCACTGATTTACCAGACGTGCCTCCACCCATGCCCTAGGAGATCCTGAGAGCACAGGACAAGCTTTATTAAAAGGAGCTAGATCAGCAGTATTTTGTAGTCTTTAGTGTATAAGACTTTCATCTTTTTGGTTGAATTCATTCCTGAGTATTTTATTCTTTTTGATGCTGTTGTAAATGGGATCACTTTTTTATTTAATTTTCAGAGTGTTTGTTGTTAGCATATAGAAATACATTAATTTTATATGCCGCAATTTACTGAATTTGCTTATTCGTTCTAACAGTTTTTTGTTGACACAAATAAATATAAAGACATCTCATGTTTATGAATTGAAAAACTTAAAATGTAAAAATGTCCATGCTACCCAAGACTACCTACAGGTTCAATGCAATCCCTATAAAAATCTTAAAATTCATATGAAACCATAAAGGATGCTGAATAGGGTTCTAAAGCAATCTTGAAAAACAACAAAGTATGGTCTCATACTTCCTGAGTTTGAGACATATTACAGAGCTACAGTAATCAAAACAGTATGGTACTGGCATAGACCAATGGGACAGAACAGAGAGCCTAGAAATAAATCCAAGCACATTCAGTCAACTGATCCTCAACAAGAATGTCAAGAATACACAATAGGGAAAAGATAGTAGCAAATAATGCTGGGAAAACTGGCTATCAGCATGCAAAAGAACAAAACTGGACCTTTATTTTACACCATACACAAAAATCAATTCAAAATGAATTGAAGACTTAAACATGAGTCTTAAACATAACACAGCCTGAGACTGTAAAACTCCTAGAAGAAAAGTGCTGTAGTTGAGTTGAACCCTCCAAACCTCATGTTGAAGTGTGATCGCCCGTACTGGAGCTGAGACCTAATGGGAGGTGTGTAGGTCACGAGGTGGATCCCTCATGAATGCCTGGTGCCATCCTCGAGGTAATGAGTGAGTTTTCACTCTGTTCACACAAGAGCTGGTTGTTCAAAAGAGCCTGGCACATCCCCCCACCCCCGCTATGTGAGCCTTGCCCACGTCAGTCCCCTTTCCCTTCTGCCATGAATGGGAGAAGGCCCTCAACAGATGCAGATGCCAGCACCATGCTTCTTGTACAGCCTGCAGAGCCATGAGCCAAATAAACCTATTTTCTTTAGAAGTTACTCCATCTCAGGTATTCCTTGATAGCAACAGAAATGGACTAAGGCAAAAATATAGGAGGAAAGCTTTATGACATTGGTCTTGGCAGTGATTTCTTGGATGTGACACCAAAGCATTGGCAAAAAAATAGAAATGTGGGACTACCTCAAACTAAAAAGCTTCTGCACAGCAAAGAAAATAATAGAGAGAGTTAAAAAAAAAAAAAAAACCTATGGATGGGAGAAAATATTTGCAAATCACATATCTAATAAGGAGTTAATGTCTACAATATATAAGGAACTTCAACAGCTTAATAGCAAAAACAAAAAACAAAAAAACAACAACAAATAGCCCAATTTTAAAATGGACAAATACCAGGCATGGTGGTTCATGCCTGTAATCCCAGCACTTTGTGAGGCTGAGGCAGGATCTTGTTCTGGGTGACAGAACAAGATCCTGCCTCCAAAAAGAAAAAAGAAAGGACTCAAACAGACAGCCACCAGGTTTATGAAAAGATGTTCAATATCACTAATCA